TATCATTCTTCTATCTCCTATTAAGTGAGATCACATTGTACGATGTATTATTAATATGAACTGTTTCACATGAAACACCAAACTGTGATAACTGTGATTAAATTCAGTGTAAACAAATTGCCACCCCTAAAAAATTCCTGCCCCCCTCTTGCCACCCCATAAATATTTTTCTAGATCCGCCCCTGGGGGTGAGTAGAAAATGAAGGCTAATCATGTTTTGGGTGTACTATTCCTTTAAAAAAGACCTTAAATTAGCCTTTAATTAGAACTAGCAGGAACATCATCCAGATCACTATTAAAAATATGTAATAGGGTATGGAAAGCACATATTTCTATCCTTTGATCATTTAGTACGCTAAGCTACACTGTCTAAAATATCAATAAGGACTTTCCTAAGAGTATGTATATGTTTTTTTTTCTTTCAGTAAGACGTCATAGTCGGACATACCCTGAACAGTCAGGCGACCTGTCATCGCACCACGTTTATCTGTATTTTAGTTGTGTCATTCTTTAGATTATGTACTATGGACCACCCTATAAAACAATGTGGAAATAAAATCAAAACTGACTGCAATTATGACTTGCAATGCACTGTTGGAAGTAGAGCAGGCGTTTTATTTTTGGGACAGATCAGGTACAGAGCATTAATGAAAAAGAAAGGATGTAAAAACGTTTATTCTCATCCCAAAAGATTGGGATGAGAACGTTTCAAAAGGCTTCCTGACACTTCTTCTCATGTGATGACGCGTGGGAGGAGCTGGCATGTGCAGAGAATGATTTTCACCTCTCTAGGTGGCATTTTTTTGCACGTTTGATTTTGTCGTACAGTGGTAGGTAAACCATGCGCAGAAGTAGTTTACCATACATGCATTTTTTTTTTTTTTTGCTTGTGGGTTTTTCTTTTAATAAATGTGACGCCATAGTCTTAAATTTCATTGTAACCTGAAGAGATGAAGCAAAGTAGCCCATAACATGAAGCACCCTCCACGTTTCACAGCAGGGACAGTGTTGTTTTCTTTATATGCTTTATTTTTCCATATGTGAACAGCTGAGGTGCATTAGTAAAACCTTCTATTCTTGTCTCATCTGTCCATAGATTTTCTCCCAAACTGCAAAAAAAATGAAATCTAAATAAGTAATTTTTTCTTTAAATAAGTGTATTTTTCTTGAATTAAGGATTTAAGTGAGGCACTTTGCCTATGGAACAAGACAATTTACTCTTGAAATAAGACAATGCAAGTGCATAATATCTAGATGCCTTATTTTAAGAGTAAAAATACTCATTCCATTGGCAAATGATGTTTTTTACATGCTCAAATTAAGGGTAAATACCCATAATTTAAGACATTATTACTCATTTTGAGATTGTTTTTGCAGTGCAGAAGCGTTGTGGCTTGTCAACAAGTAGTTTGGTTAATTCTAGTCTGGCTTTTTTATGAATTGTTGCCAAGAATATTGTCCTTCTTGGTTGTCTTCCGTTAAGTCCACTTTGGCTCAAACAACCACGGATGGTGCGATCTTACACTGATGTTCTTAAAGCTTGAAGGTCATAGTTTTCCTCCTGCTTCCAGATCCAGGTAGTTTGGCAACATTAACATGGATCTTACATTTCTTGAGCAGCTGTAATCAGAGGAACAGCAAGCTGCTTAGAGATGGTCTTATAGCTTTTACCTTTCACATGCTTAGCTGTATGTTATTTTTTTTATAATCTCCAGAGACGACTCTTTCCTTTCCTTCTGCTGGTCCTTGTTGAGTGTGGTACACGCCATGTCACCAAACAGCACAGTGACGACCTGTAGTCCTATATATAGGCCCACTGACTGATTACAAGCTTGTTGACACCTGTGATGCTAATTACACAATTCCCAATTTGATTCAACCTGTCCCTTTTGTAGCTTTATTTTTAGTCTTTTTAGCTGTACTATAATTTTTGTCCAAACCTGTTTCATGAGTTATTCTTCTCTAAGACCTAAAGACCTGGATGGCCCATAACTTCTTGAAAATCAATGAGGTAAGACCGACGCCATGGGTGTTGGCAGCACATCTGAGGTTCCCTTGACTGAGCTAGCTAGGTTACCTAGCCCTGTATAGAAGTCAGTTATCACAAACTTTGGTGTCAAAGTGGATACTGATCTTAAATTCGACAGCCAGATAAAGGCAACTGTGAAAAAAAGTTTTTTTCATTTAAGGCAGGTGGCCAAAATAAAGCCCATTCTCTCCATAGATCTTTTAGAAATAGCAATCCATGCCTTTGTCACTACCCGGCTGGATTACTGTAACGCACTTTATTTGGAGGTTAGTGCTCTCAACTTCAGAGAGTGCAAAACTCTGCAGCACGTCTTTTATTTGGCGCTCGTAAATAGGGCTGGGTAAAAAAATCGATTTAATCGATTCCTTTACATTTTTGAAAAAATCGATGTCTAGGGAATGAGATCGATTCATTTTATAGTGACGCGCGTGATGTTCACATTCAAATGAGCAGGAAAGATGCACTCAAGATTACTTCAAGCCAGACAGCTGCAAATATAGCCAATAGGTTGCCTGAAAACATTAACAAATGGGGGCTGACCAGCAAATACTCTGTAGTTGTTACAAACAAGACTGCAAATAAGGTTTGAGCATTGAAAATAATGCAGCTCATGCATGTCTGCTGTGACCCCGCTGTGTCACGTCTGCTTGCTCGACTGAGGCTTCACTTTTTCACTTTTGAGACAGTTTTGTTCACATCTCATGTTTAAACTGTCTGATTTACAATTTGCACTTTGTGTTTAATATGACAGGAAAAAATAAAATACAGGATTATTTTTTAAACACTTCATTATTGTAAAAAAGATCAAATCGAAATTAATTGATTTAGAACTGTATGAATCAAAATTGAATCGATTCAGGACTTTGGGGAAAATACCCAGCCCTAATTGTAAATATGAGCACATTACCCCAATTTTAGCCTCATTACACTGGCTCCATGTACATTTTAGGATTAATTTTAAAGTTCTTTTATTTGTTTTTAAGTCTCTCAATGGTCTTGCTCCATCTTATCTTTCTGAGTTGCTGCACCTTCATGCACCCTCCCGTTCACTCAGGTCAGCCAATCAGCTCCTTCTTCAGGTGCCAAAAACTAAACTAAAGCGTAGGGGCGATCTTTATTCAATCCATATTTTTTTCCCTCATGTATATATTCCACCCATCTTTTATCCCTACCTGCTCATTGTTGCAGGGTTGAGGGACCATAGGTGACAACCAGCGGTAATAAGGGAAGAGGCAGCTTACACTCAGGACAGGTCACATGCAAATTTCTTCCAAATAGTTTTTCTTATCAGCATTAAATTCATTAGAAATCTTAAAAACAGTTCCAGTGTGATGCAACATTAGTGAATACATGATTTGGAACCATCACATCTTCCAGTGCTTTAATCAGGCCTCTCAGTTGCATCCCTCCTCCAGCAGGGGACATACTGTGTCTTGTGTTGCTAAGAAGGCATCATATGTTAAACTCCACTAGTATTCTTATTGGTTTAGTGGAAAAACTAAGCTCTCCAGATATGATGTAATATTATTACTTATTTAATTTCTTTTTATAAATCCCATACCCTGTCAAATTAAGATTTTTAATACATCAAAACTCAATCTTTGATAAGAAAATAGAAAAAAGAAGTAATTTTTAAAGCTCAAAAAAGCCACTTTTAATCACTTTTATTTCAAAACATGTTTTTAGATGTGGGATGTTGTATCAGGGATGAGCTCACCAGATGCAAGATGGACTTCTCAGTCCAAGAGCAAAGCAAAAAGCGCTGTGTACATCCATCTGTTTGCCTTAAACCGTCCAAACAAGCAGAAAGTTCCTTCAGCGCCCATCGTTAAGCAGATTTATTAGCTTTGAGAAAGTATGCTCAAGTCCGTGACACATGTTAACTTTAAACAGGACAACATCCCAGAGGGCATAGCTGCTCTCTTCTGTAAATATCCATTTCTAAATGAAGCCAACTTTAGTTTCAGTCCAGTATTCATAGGCAGATCAGGCTCAGTTGTTTCTTCTCGTTTCACCCGAAGCAGAATTGTCCAGCCTTATTTCCCTGGCCAGGGGAGATAAGCAATCTGTACAACACATCTCAACAGAGAAACAAAGTCAATAGATACTTTATGTTTATATAAAATAAATACAAATCTCTCCTTACATCATATGCTCTGATTCCTTCATTTGTGTGAGTGCTAAAGTGTTCATTTTATGTTCCATGTCATAGATATGTCCCAATTTAACATGTCTGCATTAAAATGGGTATAAATATCTCAAATGATATAATATGATGCCAGCTTTTCTTTCATATCTGTTTGTTCTTCATTATTTTCCTTTTTCTTCTGAGTGATTATAACAGTCTTGGGACCCTTAACATCCAGAATGAGGGGATTGTGATGCTTCCCTGCTTCCTCAACAGGTGGGGCGTCCCAGCCTTGCACCGATAGCAGCAGTATGTACGCAAGAAGCAGTAGTGTGACCGCTACGGAGGTCAGTTCTGGATTTAACTGCAGACCGGACCGAGGCTCTGGCACAGACTGGGTTCTGAATGACACACAATGTTTTTTGCTTTCCCCTGAACCTCTGTTGGCATACAAGCCATCCTCACTGATTCCTAGATGTAGACACACTCTGTAAACTGTATCTGCCTGCAGGTGAGTCAGGTTGAAGCTCTGCGTGCCTGCAAGAATCCGTGTGGTGTATGTTGGTGAGTGGGAGTCAGTGTTTGAGTGCACGGCCTGCCAAGATAGGCGAGTAGAAGGGAGGTTTTGTCTGCTCTGCCAGGACAAGATAGCGTAGTGTTCTCCAACCTTGTTCAACTCTAACCTTGCATCTATATTGATGGCTTGAAGTTTCTTCTGTTTAGTCACCACCACCCTTTTTCTATTTTTCCCTCTGTTGTGTACTCCTACCGTAACGCTCCGCGTATCTGCTCCTAATCCATTCTCTGCCACACAGGTATACAGCCCTGCCTCTCTGAATGTAATCCTGCTAATCTCTAGATTTCCCTCAGGCAGTAGCTGGTAGTGTTTGAAAAATTGGCAAACAGTATCATTTTGGCCTTGCATATGCTTGTAACTGGTGGCAGATTTGTTGTTAAAGCCATCAGAAGTTGCATTTATACAGACTGCCGTAGCTGACAAACCTCCGGACGTACTGTTTGTTAAAGGTCCGAGTCTCAGTCCAGAGGGGGTCACCCAGTACAGTTCAGGAGTTGGCTCCGCAAGTGCCCGGCAGTGTAAAACCAGTTTTCCTCCTTCTTGAACCCCAACATAGGAGGGAAGAGAACTAGCAGGAATAGTTGGGAGACAGGATGTAGACATCTCTCCTGAAGAGACCTCTCTTACTCTGCGTGCTCTTAGTTCTGAGGGTGCAGAGCACAAGGTAGCCTCAGGTTGGATGAAGCGAACCACCCGGGCTGCTTCTGCCTTCATTTGCGTGACCCTTTCAACGCGAGGATGAGAGGTGTCCCTGGCGGCCCAGTGGAACAGGCAGTCACATCGCAGTGGGTTGGAGTGTAGGCTGACCTCTTGAAGACTTGGCAGAGAGAGTATGATGTTCTGGTGGAGAGCACTTAGAGAATTAGAGTTTAGCATAAGACTCTCCAGTCTGTTTAGCCTGACAAAAGCCTGAGGATGAACATAAGACAAACGGGGGTTGTTGGTGATCTCTAGCTTTGTAAGCTCTGGTAAGTTCTCTAGAGAGGCTTTATCTATTGATACAAGCTCTTCCATGTTGTTCAGACCTAGCTCTTTTAGATTCACCATGTCTTTAAAATCCCCAGTCTCAATCAGTTTGATACGGTTTTTGTTGAGGTCAAGGAACTTGAGTCCTGGAACTCTTTTCAGGGCTTGTCTGGGTACCTTAGTAAGATGGTTGTCATAGAAGGAAAGGCTTTCCAGTTCTTCAAGCCCTTCAAGTGCCTTCTCAGCCAAACCTCTCAGACCCATACCGCCAAGCACAAGGCTCCGAAGGGACTTTAGTGCCACAAAGCCTCTTTCTGGTAGAGCTTGGACTGGATTACCCCCAAGCATGAGAACTTCCAGCTGAGGCAAAGCCCTGAACCATCGGGGGTCAATCGTTGTGAGTCTGTTGTTATTGATGTGAAGACGGCGAAGGGAGTTAAGACCATTAAAGGCTCCGGGTGCAACTAAATGGAGGTTGTTATGACTGAGAAAAAGTTCTTGTAAAGCTGACAGTAATGAGAAGGAGGCGTCTGGAAGGTGAGTGAGATGGTTTTCCTCAAGGTGTATGGAGAGCAGAGAAGGCAGGGGTGAACTCTGAGTAATCATTTTAACATAACTGAAGCGGTTCTGTGAAAGGTCCAAGTCGGTGAGGTTGGGGAGTCCATGTAGCACGGCAGTGTCCAGTGCTGATAGCAGGTTACTCTGAAGGCGAAGGGTATGGGTGTTCAGTGGTAAGGGATAGGGCAGCTTTGTCAGCAATAGATTGTTACAGTCCACTGTGGGAGCTTCGTGGTAGACGGAATCCAGGGAGAACCATGGCTTGATCTGACACACACATCTCACAGGGCACGGAACATACCACGGCAGTGCCGGTGGCAGCGAGCCCACAACAACGGGCACGCACATAGTGCTAAACACATACAAGAGACAATATGATTGTAGGAGAGCTAAGGCTGGCCTCATAATCCTCTCAGGAGGTGATTCAGACAAGGTGAGGAAGACTTTGTTATGGAGATGAGAGGTGAATCATTTGAAGTGGAGACGTGTGAGCCGACTGTAACAGTAGAGCAGATGGTTTGCTTTCACTACTCATAGCATAACGTTAAAATGGTATTGGTTTTATAGTGATATGACAAATGGAAATGAATCTCCGAATTTTAATAACTGTTCTTTACAATGTGTGACTTTGCAGTGGTAAAGCTGCTGGCTGACAAAGGTGTTCGTTGTCAGAGCATCAGAGTGTTCCCTTGTCAGAGCGAAGATCTGGCTGCAGGTGGATGACTCATTCCTTTGGTCACTGTTTTCAGAAACACAAGATAAGAAACAGATTCAGTAACAGAGCTTTTCTATTTGGAAGTACTGTACTGAGAAACCTCAAAAAATGCCTCAGTAGTAGAACCAACTACAATTATTAAATCAAACTTGCATAACAACAAGAAGGATAAAAGATCTCTGAAAGTAACAATCATGCTCTTATCTGGAGAAAAACAGACTAGGGAAAAATGGCATTTGCAAAGCATTACAGTGCAATCTTGAGACTGCAGAAGAACAGTCATTGTCATGAACTAAAAATGGAGAAAATATTGAGCAGCGGTGAAACTTTCAAGGAGGGATCAGCCTACCAAACTTACTCCAAGAACACACTGACAACTCAGTCAGAAGGTGACAGAAGAACAGAGATGGGAAGTAACGAAGTACAAATACTTTGTTACTGTACTCAAGTAGATTTTTAAGATATTTTTACTTTACTTTACTACTTATTTTTATGGCAACTTTTTACTTCTACTCCTTACATTTTTACACAAATATCTGTACTTTCTACTCCTTACATTTTAAAAAATTGGCTCGTTACTTTAGTTTTTAATCATTTCGATGGAGTTACAGTTATTATTTTTCACATCATCAATACCAAATTCAATCTAATTGGATGGGAATCTACGTTGCATTTGACGCACCACTACAAGATGAATCGACAGATTCGGCGGTATTCATTTGCGGCAAATCATTGCAGCTTGGTGGCGGTGGCGTTAGCATAGTAGCATGGACGACGAGATGATCGAAAATGAACACAACGGAGATCTAGTCCTATTGGCAGACATCCATTTAAAATGTAGGCAACGGCATGAAAAAAGTGGTTTCTACTTTTACTTTTATACTTTAAGTAAATTTACAAGCCTGTACTTTGTTACTTTTACTTGAGTAAAGAAGTTTAATCAGTACTTCCACTTTTACCAGAGTATTTTTCAACACAAGTATCTGTACTTTTACTCAAGTACGGAAAGTGAGTACTTTTGCCATTTCTGCAGAAGAATCGAAAATTAAGTTCAAAGCACTACAGAACTATGTTTATGCTTCAATCATAAGGAAGAGACTGGGAAAAAAATAATCCATGGGAGAGATCTAAGTCCAAAACCACCGCAGACCAAAAATAACATGAACACCTATACTCTATACCAAAAATAAAACCTCAATTATAAATAAAAAAAGGAATTTATTTCTGTAGAGTTATATAAAAAGAAGGGAATGTGGAATGTGTCTGTCATATATAGTTTGGTTTATTAGTCCTCTGAATTAGGACTTTAATTTGAAGGGTCTACAGCTGGTCCTGCGATGGACTGGGGACCTGTCCAGGGTGTACCCCGCCTGATGGATGGATGAATGGATGGATGGATGGTCTACAGCTGCTTAGCTGATTTTGGACCTATAAAACTAGTTGCCATTGATGAAACCATAAATTCTGCTCTCTAAAAAAAATCCCACCCAGCCATCAGCAGCCTTATGATACAAAAATTAATGGTCTGCAGTGGTCTATTGAAAGTCTCAAATTATTATTGATGGTTCTGGCTGCATGACAGAGTATTAGGGCCAGGCTAGAGATTTTTTCTATTTCCAGAATAAAGTTGTAATATTATGAGAATAAAGTCATAAAAGCACTAGAATAAGGTCATATTGCGAGAATAAAGTTGTAGTATTACAAGAATGAAGTGATCATACATCAAAGACCAGCTCCACCAAACAGCAACCTGAGTCCACTTTGACATCCTGTCCAATTTGATGCTGGTGCAAAAAGATTTCCTTATTTGTCAAACCAGAGCCAACGTAAAAACTTCACATGATGCTCGATATTCCTCATTTTAGAGAAGACAGTGCTTCGTGTAACAGTTGTCATAAATTATAACTTGTTTCTCCTAATTTTAGGACTTTATTCTCCTAATACTACGACTTTATTCTTGTAATTTTATTACCTTATTCCATAGTGTTACGACTTTATTCTTGTTATTTTATGAATATTCTCATTGCAGCTTTTTTCTCGTAATTTTACGACTTTATTATCATAATTTACGACTTTATTCTCATAATGTTACAACTTTATTGTCGAAATAGAAGGAAAAAAAATGTCTTTAGCCTGGCCTTAATACTCCGTCGTCCTGGCTGCCAAAGATAGCCAATTATTAGTTTCAGATGGGCAACTACTTCTTAACATAGATTCAACCTTGTTTTAACAGATTTTTTCCAATTAATGAAATCCTTTAAAAACTGCAGTTTTTGTATTTTCCCTTTTTTGACATTAAAAATCCCGGAAAACTGCCTGTAAAATAAATGACAATGACTGTATAAGTTAAAAGCACAATTTAAAAGGATCTGTGATTTGTTTTAATAGTGGATTTTATTTGAGAAATATTTATTTTAAATGCAACACAGTGAAAATACTGTAAGCTTTTTAGTTTAAATACATTTAAATGATAAAGGTAAATGATGTAGGCTAGTTCCTGTAGCACTAGCTCTGTCTATACTTGGGTTGCCAACCGTGCCTTGAAAAATGGAATCGTCACGTGTTTAGAAATACAAGTACCTGTCCCATATTTACTGTAGTGGAAAAGGGGCGTACTTTTTCCCGTATTACTGTGATAACTGTTCAGACTCAGGTCGCATTTGAAAAGATCAGATTCGTATCGGATTCAGGACCACATAGCCAAGTGGCCGGGGTCGCATTGGATAAAATCGGATCTGTGTTGTTCAGACTATTATGAAAAGATCAGATACAGGTCACATATGGGAAAAAAATGAATATGGGTCACTTCCGGCTGCTGTGTGACATTTTACACAGAGCTTAATATTTCTGTGTTCAGTCTGTAGGTTCCAGTCCAATAATAGCTAACTGTGTCATCATCCCAGTATGCATCGCACAGGTTAAAAAACTGTCAAACAGGTTAAAAATCACACTGCAAAAATATGAAACCTAATTAAGTTTAAAATAATAGCATTTTTTCTTGAATTAAGCATTTAAGTGCCAATGCCATTTTTTTTCTAAGTATGTATGAGTTTCTATGTGTCAAAACTGTAATTTTAACGTTAATTTGAAAATATGGTTAGGCCAATATGTTCAACTAGTCATGGATCCATTTAAGAGAATAATGATGGTATATAAATTTTTTGTAAGAGCAGCTATTTCTATTCACTATGCATCCAAGAGTCCATAACATAGGTAACAATAAAGTCTGTTTTGTTCTATTGTATTTGATTTGATTCTATCCTATTAAGAACAGAACAAATTATGTTCTGTTGGGATTTTTGCTGTTATTCTCAGGCAGGAGTGATGAAATCATGCAACATGTGCATCAATATTTCATGGAACTACTTCACATAACGTAGTCAGAGTGTGGCCTCCCACAGATGTTATTCATTATGAAACATTTAAATTAGACCCCAAGGATCTTTTATATCATCAGTCTTCTGTAGTTAAGACTCTAATGGGTACAGCAGGAGTTGCTGCTGAAACAAACTTAAAAAGAGACACACACATTAATAGGTTTTCATCATCTCGGGCCTCCGTATCAGGAACAACTTAGTATTCATATTACGTAATTATCATTCTAACATCATAGATGTTTGGCAGCAGTCAAAGCAGACCACTAATTGACTAAATTAGTTAAAGAAAAACTCAATCTTTTTTATTCAACCCACCTTATCTCAACACCAGATTTTATCTGCAAAACAAAAAGAAAATGTATGACATGACGCAAAGGCTATCTAAAAGAAGTAACATGTTCTTTTTTTAGTAGTGCTGCATTTTTAGTCATTCTTTGTATACATATTTTGCAAAGCTTTATCTTTGGTGTTTCCTGTTAAATCAAACATATGTATCATCACATACTTTAAAAAACACTGAAGCACTGCAGGTTTGGTCGTGCACTGCAAGGGTATGTATCCGTTTGCAGATTTATGGACACCAGCCAATAAATTATCATTATTCTGTGATTCCTTTATGACCATTTGCCCTTTTTTTTTATCAATGGGAATAAAGTTTAACTGCATTTTCTTCTAATTTTCAACACTTAAATAATAAAGTATTTGCATAAGCAATTTTATGGGAATGAAGGGTTTATGTTTTTTTTTTTTTTTACATTTTTATAGAAATAGATCCAAAGCAGCTGGATTAAGTGTTGGTGAGTTTACACCAGTTTTGTCACCATTTTCTCTACATATATTTTAGTTATATAAAGGCTCTGTGTTCTATTGAATTTGTTGTACAGATCTTAAACAGACATTTCCGCCTAGAACTAATAATTGGTTGTAATTTCCATGCCTCCTTAACTGTAAGAAAATGTGGTTATGCAATCACAATTAAAGCTCGTTGCAAAAAAGAGCAGGTTTTATAGATGGAAGTGAAATTTGTTTTTTTTTATTATTTGAAAGAAAAAAAAATCCAGAAAAAAACCTTAAAAAACTTTTTTTTAACCTTCTTTTTCCATCAAATTTCACATTTTGAGATTGAGTTTTATGAGTTGCATTCTTTCTAAAATGCCCTTTACCGAGTGTTTGTATTGGGGATATGTGAAAAGAATTTGATTTATAAAACACAATTAGAAAAGAATTCACTTCCTACATTCTTGTCTAATTCATTTCAAAAACTCAATCTGAGAAGCAGAAAAAAATATATTAAAAATGATAAAGTTAAACATATTTAAAAATAAAGAAAAGGAGTAGAAATACAATCTGAAAAACCCAGCAAAGTTACTCTCAAATTTGTTTTGAATAAAAGTTATTTTACATTTTAATTTAAATAACTTTTTTTTGTGACAAAAATGAAATAAAATTCACTCTATGTCTTGGGGTTAACTGGCTAATAGTAAAAAAAAAAGTTGACAGAGAAAAGGTGTAAAATAAAAAACAGCAACAATAAATTTATCTTTAAAAAGCTCGTATAATACATCAGAAACCAAGAAAAGCTGAGTCAAAGGGAATGGTTCAATTGGATTTAACCAAAAAACAAAAAAAAATGATTATGGGATGAAA